ACAAATTGTGTAATGTTTCATTCGTCTCTTCCTTTCTTAAAACCAGCGGATTTTAGCGATGGGATTGGGGAAGGGACAGTGGTGGTCTTGCTGTAGTTTAAATAATGACATTTGAATCCTCACTGTATGCCATATAATAAATACAAAGCACTTAGAATATTACCTCATTTAACACTCATGACAATCCCATGCAGGAGGTATCACTAACATCCCCATTTTATGGAGGAGTTGCTTAAGGTCCAGAGAAGCCAAGTAACTTGTCCATAATTACACAACTAGTAATCGAATTTAATCCCAGGCACTTATCTAATTTCACAACTAGAATTTTTAACCACTATAACCTGCAGTTTGAAGATGTCACCTGCCAAAAGAAAGTTACCCTGAATTAGACGGGTAGAGGTTGTGGATTCTGAGAATCCAATTTTTTTTTTTTTTAATGTGCTTTTAGGAAATTTTGAAGTTTAACAAAGGCTAAGAACTATTGCACTACTAGGCTATTAGTTCACTGAAGTCAAGCACTGGCCACCTTTGAGAAATAACTCATGGTGATAAAGTTCAAGCCTCAAGTTCTAGTTCATTGATTAATTAGAATTTACTTACTACTCCTGTCATTCCTCTGTACCCCATCCCATTCCAAAGAAGTAGAAGAAAAAAAATCTAGCATTTTCTAAAGAAAAAAATTAGATCTGCTAGCAAATCAAATATTTCATTGGCAAGAGCACTGTCGGTTTTCCATAGGGTATTAAACAATGCATAAAGTGATCCCTGAAGTTCCTTCTACTTTAAACATTTTTGACTTTACAGTAAAACACAACTGCTCCCCAAATAAAAACTTTAGTCAATAACTCCATGCCAAATAAAGTGTGAGGTTTAAGTAACAGAATATAAGGCAGGTCCTTGAATAACATCGTTTCATTAAAACATTGATGAGATGCCAAGATACTGTAGGAACTTAACTCTTGTTTATATCAATCAACCTGGAGTAAAATTGGTTTTGTTGTGCAACATTTCACTTAAAGTTTCGAAATCTATTAAAGATGTTAAGTAAGGACTTACTGTACAGATGTTGTTTTCTAAGTTGTGACAAATGTACTCCAGTAATATGATGTTAACAATATGGAAACGGGGTGAGCAGTATAGCAGAACCATCTGTATGTAATATCTGTGTAACTTTTTTGCAAATTTAAAACTATTCTAAAATAAAATAAGATTTTAAAAAATATATGTCCATTTTAAATAATACAGAAAATTTCTACTGAACAACTAACTCCAAGTTAATATTGGATGAATAGTCTGCTTTGCTTACTGGGGTATAATGTTAAAATATAAACACTTTTACATTTCAAAATGATGTTTGAGCTCTTAAAATTCTTAGTCCCACAAAAATTGGAGTTTCCCAAAACCTTTCTACCATATTTATATTCATACTAGAGGCCCAAGTGCATGAAAATTCATGTACTTGAGTGGGGGGGTCCCCTCAGCCCAGCCTGCCCTCTTTCACAGTTTGGGAGCTCTCAGGGGCAGGAGGCGACCCAGTGATCAGGGGAAAGTGACACCCCATCACATCTCTGCTGCTGCCACTGCCAACAGTGCAAGCCTCAGCTGGCCGTGGTTAAATGAGCCTCAGGTGGCCCTGGGCGGCTAGGCAGCCACCATCCGGGGCTTGTTTGCACCTCAGGCCAGCCCTGGGCAGCTGAGGGCAGGTCTGGCCACACTATGCGCCTCTTGCTCCCTCAGCTGGGCTGAAAAGACTGTGGGAATCTGGTGGCAGGCACAAGGAGCTGTTGGACCTGCCTGAAGGCGGGTCTGGCCACACTGCATGCCTGCCAAGCCCCCCAGCAGGGCTGAGGTGACTGGGTGCCTCCATCTTGTGGCTATGGGTGCCACCATATTTGTGACGGTGTTATTTATCTAATAAAGAGGTGCATATTTCCTCTTTATTAGATAGGAATATCATACCTCTAACCATCCACCTTAAAACCAATGTTGGACTTCCCACGGTTTAGTGTAAGTCCCTATTCCTTATAGTGTGTTGTGATTGTTTTTTTTTTTTTTTAAAGAAAATACTGAGTTGAGATGGGTGTCAGACACAGGGAAAATATTTTTTTTTAAAAGTTTTTTTATCTCCTCCTCACTGATGAGATTATAACAGTGGGGGTAGTAGTACCTACCTAGCATTTCAAAACTTTTATAGACAGGAAAGGGCTAAGGATCAGAAGAAAGGTTACTTCTAGGTCAAGTCACAATAAACACAGAGATGTCCCTGTAAAGCTGAGACAAGGCCCCAAGAAGGAAAGAACTACAATTCACCTCATCTGGAAGGAAGAGGAAGCAGGTCATGACCGTGGTCCCATCCTGAACCAAATTCCTTCCTCTCCCATAAGATTTCTGCCCCAGTCAATGAAGCTCCTGCCAATGATGTACCTAACGGAACATAACTTTCTAGTAATAGATATATTGCTGTAAAATGTTCCCCTTTACTAAGGTAAAACAAACCAGAGCTATTCTTTAGGAGTATTTCTGTTACAGGAAAGAGAGAAAGCAGGAAGAAGGAAAAGATGGAGAGAAAAGAGCCCCAGGTGAACAGCAGTTATGATGGAATGTAAACCTGAACTGAAAGCTAGGAATCCTGGTTTCCTGGTTTCTATTCCCAGATCTGCCATTAGCTAACTCAACTATCTTATTTAGACAGTGAGCTTCCTCATTGAAAAATGAAGTAGGGGTCGGGGTTGCACCTAAGAATAAGAGTATATCCTAGAACAAGATGTCCCCAGAGGGCTTCAGAGCTTCAGAGTCGAGAATAATACCTGTGCACAGGAAGAAAAAAGCCTCTTAGGATGCAGGAACAAGGAAAATTTCTGATTATTCTGCCTGGGGATGGAAGATTGTTCAAAATTACTAGGTACAAATTAGTACTTATAGAATAGTAGAGGGAGAGTTCATGAAAGTTGCCAATTCAACACAACCTGAGTGGGGTTCTTTATACCAGCGCTAGGTATTATAGAGTCAGAGATGAATGTCAGAGTCTCTGACTTTAAGATGTTCAGAATCCAGTTAAGGTTTTGGCCAAGGTTTAGCTAAGAGAAAAACTGTGCCTGTTTGACTCTCTCCTTTCCCATTAATGTTACATAAAGGACGCAATGACACCTAGAATCTTCACAGATTGCAATTAAGAAAAATGAGGCTTAAAGAAATTAACTTCAGGGTACTAAGTTTTCTAAGTTCAAACCCAGTGGTCTGACACACACGATTGGTGTGGCCATATAAATGTCAACTAACTACATTAACTAAAATCCTATTAACCTAGAGGATAAAGGAAAATTATTAAATTATATCACAATTCCTGCCAACAGTTAACAATATGAAAGCCTCTTATAATAGATGCGCCTCATTATTCATTAATTGCAATGCATAATCCCCACTAGCCTGTACTCTAGCTCCAACTTAAAGATCATAACCATTGTCCAAACCATCTCTATTCCCAATGGGTAGTGTTGAGCAAGTACTCTGGGTACAATGGTTGAATTAGTGATCTCCAAAGCTGCTCCCAGGTCTAAAATTACCTGACATCAAAACATGATCAATAAACACATAAACGCCACACAAGGTCACAAATATATACGCTTAACTCATCTAGAGAGTTTTAAAAGTAATGTCACTACAAGCTTTAAATATATATATAAAACTGATTTTTTACAGAGAGGAAGGGAGAGGGATAGAGTTAGAAACATTGATGAGAGAGAAACATCAATCAGCTGCCTCCTGCACACCCCTCACTGGGGATGTGCCTCCAACATGTCCCTGACCAGAATCGAACCTGGAATCCCTGAGTCCGTGGCCGAAGCTCCATTCACCCAGCCAAACCGGTCAGGGCAAGCTTTAAGTATATTTTTGCAACTACAGGCACAAATGCAGATCTTACTATTCTATATATTTTGTCCTATCAGTAACAAAAAATTAGGATTTTCCAATCTTGACTTAAACAACTTTATAACTTATTTGTAAATTTACACAAGCCAGGAAAATAAGGGATAATAAAATAGAAAAAAATAAGAAATATTAATTACAATCAGAAAATTGTAACTGTGTCTACAATGCACACTAATTGAACTGTGGAAATTTATTTCTGCTGTTTGTGAAGATCCCTGGAAAAATAACAAAAACACAGGAGAGAGAATTCTGAGAGGGTTTTACAAATTGGGAATACTTTCCCATTTGCTTATAGATTTAAAAAAAAAAAAAAAGCGGGTCAAAATCTAACTCAAGGGAGACTGCTTTTGCTCTTCACGGATGTGCATTAGGAGGGGTACTTCTGGACTATTTACTTATCCCCGGCAAACCAACAAGGCCCCATTGTCAAGTTTGGACTGTCCAGGACCATAATTTAATTTCAAGAAAAGCAGGTCAAATGACAAATAATACCGTGAAAACTTAAAATGAAGTTGCTGCAAAAAAGTGGAGGTCTGTCTGACAGAAGTAGACAAGAGGGATTTTCTAGATTAAACTGACATCGCAATTTGGCTCTAAAGGCGGGGATCAAGTTCTAAACAACAAACTGCATTTGAATAAAGGCCACTTTTTTGGGGGAGGTGGAGGGGACGGGCCCCCAAATACAACCTCTTCTAATTTCAAGAATTCCCAATTTGAATGGATTTGATTCCACGTAGTCAGCTTTGCTAAACGATTTCTCTTTATCACAATCCCAAGCCTACGCACCCGTACTATCCTATTCCTTGTAGTACGATTTAAAAAATAAATAAAATTGGGGACCGGAGAGGCAAACTGCAGACTGGGCACTACCAGGCTGGCAGGCTCGGAGTAACAAAACCCAGGTGTGAAGGGCAGGGAGAGCCGGCCCCCAGGCCACCGGGGAGCGGAGGCTCGCTCCCAGAGCTCACAGCACAGACACACAATGCAGACCCAGTTCCTCCTCCCGGGGACAAATCACAGCTGAGCCCGGCCCCCCGCACGCCCCGAGCCCCGCGAGGCCGGCGCTGTACCTGGCGAAGAAGTCGGCCAAGCCGCCGCTCCGTCGAGCCCGGGCCGAGGTCCCCGCGGGGCCCTGCTCCGCGACGGACGAGGGCACCGGCGGCCCCGCCGGGGGCTGGTGGTCGCGGGCGCCGTGGCGGCGGCTCACCTCGAACGTGTTCCGCGAGTTGAGGTGGACGTCGGAGAAGCCCAACCCTGCGCCCCCACTAGTCCTCCCGGCCGCGGTGGCGGGGGGCGCGCCCTCCTCGGGACCCCCGGCCCCGGCCCCCGGCTGCTCCCAGTCCTCGCTGCCGCTGCCGCCGCTGGCCGGGCTGCCCTCCGCCGCCGCCAGGCAGCAGCTCCGCAGCGGGTCCTCGAGCGGCGTGGCCCAGTCGGACCCGCTGCCCGCGGCGTCCGCGCCCTCGGCGCCGGGCCCCTCTAGGGGGAGGCGGGGATCCCGGCCGCCGGCGCGCGCCGGCCCGCGAGCCTCCTCCGGGTCGCGCCAGCCCCGGCCCGGCAGAAAGCCCGAGTCCCCGTTGGTCATGCCCCCGTGCCGCGGCGCGCCCGCCGCCTCCGCGCCTCGGTGCCCGGAGCCCGGGGCTCGGTGCGGGGCCGCCGAGGGCGGCGGGCAGGAGCACAGCCCGGGCTCCAGCTGCCCCCCGGCCGCCGCGAGGTAACGCCGGAGGAGCTGCTGAGGCGGCGTTTCCTCCTCCTCCTCCTCCTCCTGCTCCCCCTCCTCCGGCGGCTCCACAGCGCCGACGCCTCCGCCAAAGCCGCCCGTGGCCTGGATCATCTTCCCGTCCGCGCCCGCCGACTCGGGCGCCGGCACCGGGAGGAACTTGGGGTTTCTTCCCGAGCAGGCTCCGGCATCCTCCGGACCCACCATCCGGGCCGGGTGAGCGCCGCCCGAGGAGGAGGCGGCGGAAGAGTCCCCGGCGCAGGCTCGGCCCGGGTGCAGCCCTAGGAGCCGGGGCCGCGGCGGCCGCCGCCGCAACCTTCCCAGACCCGCCCCTCCCACCCGGGCTTCGGGCAGTTGCGGGAGGGCGGGCCGGTGCCTGGGTCTGCGCACGCGCAGGAGCCGGACCGGTCAAGCCCGGACTGGGAGACTCCGCGAACCATAGAGACGCCGGCTAGAGAGGCCCTCTCCCTGACACTCCGGCGGCCAATCTGGGATCCGCCATCTGGATGGTGGAGGTTGGTTGGTCCACTCCGAGTCTGACAGCTCTTACGGGAGGAGCACGGGTCTGGCTCGCTTAGCAGAAATCCACTCGACGTGCTTAATTTATAGGAGACTACAAGGTGTTAGATCCTTCCAGCTCTAATTACCCTTTTACATCCATCTTCTCCATCACCATCGCCACAATTTAGGGCTTCTTCTCCTCTCGTCAACACCCTCCAGTCTTCACTTCATCTTTTCTAGCACCACGCTACATCGCAGTGCTTTTCTCAAAGATTTCCTTTATCACTCAAGGAGGGATAGTAAGTAGGCAGAGAGGAGCTATTGAAATAATTCCAGCACCCTGTGAAAACGGATTAAAAATGGGGTGATAATCACTGAATGGAAATGAAGTGTGTTTAAGAGGAGGGATGAACCAGCAATTACTACAAAACCTTTTGAGATGGAAACTGATATGGTTTGAAGAAATAGGGATTGGAAAAAGTTTATTAATAGGGTTAATATATCTGGTAAAGTAAAAGACACAGACTATCCAGCATCTAGTTAGAAGTCTAAAACTTGAGCTGGAACTTAGATGGACATGCAAATTGAAGTCATCTACATAATGAGTGACAGCATCTAGGAAGAAAGAATAAAGATGGAAGTATAGCACACTCAACAGTGTCATTTCAGGATAAAGAAGTTGTATTACAAGGGATTAAAGAAGCACTACTTGTGGATAAAATGAAGCAGCAAATATAGACCATTCATTGTAAAAGTATGCCAATGAAAGAGAGGGCAGAAATAGAATGCAGTAGTAGAGGAAGCAGCATTGTCAATCTGTAAAAGCCTTTCTTATAAATATACTGTATATACATATACACAAAAAGAGTGACTATAACCTATATATGAATGGTAATACAAAAGGACATCAAGGCACCTCAAGCTCAATATGTCCAAGTGTAAACTCATAAATGCCTCCTCCGAATCTGCTCCTATTGAAGCCTTCCATATACCACTGAATGACAGAATTATATCATTATCTTATCTCACTAGCCAAGTGTAGTGGATGTGGATTGAATTGTGTTCCTCAAAAAGATATGTGCAAGTCGTAACCCCCAGTACCTGTGACTTTATTTAGAAAAGGGTTATTCAGATGTAATTATGGTAAGACTCTCAAAATGATATAATCCTGGATTGGACTTTCTCCCTCTCCTCATAGCGCTAATAATTTGGTGCCCATATATAAGACAGAAGCATAGGGAAGTCCATGTGAAGATAGGAGCAGAGATGAAAGTGATGCATCTACAAGCCAAGGAACACAAAAAATTGCTGACAGATACATAAGTTAGGAGAGAAAATTGAAATAAATTATTAGAGCCTTCGGAAAAAAGCAATCCCACCAACACCTTGATTTCAGATTTATAGTCTCCAAAACTGCAAGAGAACAACTTTTTCTTGTTTTAAGCTACCAAATTGTGGTAATTTGTTATCACAGCCCTAGGAAACGAATACACCAAGTACTCATTAAAGTCTGTTGTGTCTCTATCTTTATTTTTAATCATAAATACAGTATTATCAGCTATGCTAACCATTTTTTACACTAGATCCTCTGAAATGAGATAACTGAAAGATGCTTAAAAACTTTCAGCTGCAAGATGAATAAGGGCTAAGGATCCAATGCAAATGTCTTAAATTGATTCACTTCACACTATTTCCACCCACCCAGACTAATTTGCCATCATCTCATTCCTAGGCAACAGAATTAACCTCCATTCTCCACTCATTCACCGGGGGCCACATCCAAATAATTCTCCATGCTGCAGTCAAAGTACTTAAAAATAATAATAATTATATATATATACATATATATATACATACACATATACACATATATACATATACATACATATACATACATGTATATGTATGTATATGTATATAATTGATTTTTTACAGAGAGGAAGAGAGAAGGATAGAGAGTCAGAAACATCGATGAGAAAGAAACATCGATCAACTGCCTCCTGCATACCCCCCACTGGGGATGTGCTCGAAACCAAGGTACATGCCCTTGACTGGAATTGATCCTGGGACCTTTCAGTCCGAAGGCTGACACTCTATCCACTGAGCCAAACTGGTTAGGGCCAAAGTACTTTTTTATAAACACAAATCTGATCATGTCAGTGCCCTGCTTTTTTAGTCATCATTGTATTAACCTTTCAACCTTTTAAAAGAAACACTTTTCCTTAATGTTCCATTACTCTATTGTTTCCTTTTTTTCTCCTACATTTTTGGATGTTTCTCCTAAGTACTCTTTGGGAGGGTTCTTCCTATTTTCTTAACCCTAGAGACAAAATCTTTTTTCATGACCTATTAAGCTCTTTATGGTCTATTTTCTAGCCTCCTCTCCCACTTTTCTCCCAGATGCCCTGAATTTCAGTTACATTGGCCTTCTTTTCATTCTAGCTGCTACAAAGCTGTTTCTCCAAGATTGTATAGCTAGAATGTTTCCCAAGATAATCTGGGTCTTTGTTGTAAACATCTCCAATCTCATCTCACATTTATCTTCTCATCATGTTTCAGACACATGGCCCTTTTCTGTTTCTGAAGTTGTGTGCTAACTAAGCCCTTTCTCCCTAAGGATCTTGGTGCATGAGAGGACTTTTCCCCACCTTGCCCATCTATCTTCTACTCTTACTTCAGGACTCTGTTTTTTAAATGGGGTTTAGAAGAGAGGGAGAAAGATGGTGTATGTGGCGGAGGGAGAGAAACATCGATCTGTTGTTCCACTTACTTATGCATTCATTGGTTGATTCTTGTATGAGCCCTGGCTGGGATCAAACCAGCAACCTTGGCGTATTGGGACAACACTCTAACCCAGTGGTTGCCAACCGGTGGTCTGAGAGGTCTTAAAGGTTGGTGACTGCTGGTTTAAGAAAACCTTTGGGACAGTGGTCACCAACCGGTGATCCGGTCTGTGAGTCAGGGCAGGAATCAGTTTTAATGTCAGCTTCTCAGAGAAGCTTTCTTTGACCTCTCCTCCAATTGCTTAGATTTGTTACGTTTTTATAACACACTTTTACTTTGTAATCAGTATTACAGCTATAATTTTGTTTTTTGGGGGGCTAGTATTTGTACACACACACACACACACACACACACACACACACACTCTACAATATAAGCTCTGCAAGGAGAGGGAGTATGTCTGTTTTGTTCATCTTTTTAGCAATAGTATCTAGCACACTGCCAAGCACATAGTAACTGTTCAATAAACAGTTATTAAAGAAATATGTGAATAAGCAGATGTGTCTATTAAAATAAAATGTGTCAGAATAAAACTATCAAAATATGTGTCTAGTCCCCAGGAAATTCTCAACTCAACAGATTAAGCATATCTGTAATCCTCAAGACCATGATTCAGAAACAGCCTGATGCTGATATCTATTTATACTCTTGGATACATGCAATTTCATCTTTTATGGATGAATGTTTAACCCAAATGATTTGTTTTGAGTGAGTATGCACTACTGAAACCTAAAATAACCATGAGTTGTCCTCTTATATACTGGTCTGAAAGCTGTCTTTGTTGATGAACTGATTAAATAAAAATGTGATAAGTATGTTCATTTGAAAGTCAGTTGACAGGACGTAGAATATATTTGGTATCAAAATCCAAATGAAAATTCTGCAAAGCAATGGGAATGAACAATCTTCTGTGGGACCATGTGACTTATGTTGCTACTGAATTCATCTTCAACTTCCACAAATGGTTTAAAAATTCCATGCATGCCTGGTAAAGCCTCAGGTAAAAGAGGATGACTAGGACTAGGCTTGTGGATTATAGTTAGATTACCAGTATTGAAAGGATGAATATTACAGATTAACTCAACAGGATGAGATATATGTCAGAAATGAATGATATAAGATCACAGAGAAGCTGCTGTTTGGTGAGCCACAGACAGTCAGCCACAAACCAAGTTTGGGCATCAACCTATGCACCAAAAGATTACTGATTCAATTCCATTCTCATTCAGGGCACATGGGTTCCAGCACATGCCCAGGTTTCAGGCTGGATCCCCAGTAGGGGCAAGCATAGGCAGCCAATGTCCCTTCTGCTCTCACATTGATGTTTCTCTTTCTCTTTCCCCTTTCCCTCTCTCTGAAACTTAATTAAAATATTATTTTTTTAAAAAAGAAGAAGAAAAGAAACAAATGCACATAGGTTCTTGGGGAAGCAAACTGACGCTGCATGTCAGGAGTCCAGGTACGGCTACTCCTGGGACTCTGTCGTAAGGAAATCACTTAAAAGGATAAAATAAGAGCTATCCAAATGTGCTCATAGAAAAATATTAAGTAGTTAGAAATCAGAAATTACCTACATTGTCAATAATGTGGGAAGTGTAGGAAAAACTAGGTATACCAAATATTTCTAGAGAAATATGATTAGTAATCATACAATTCAACCAAAGGAGGACAGACAACCCAATTTAAAAATGGGCAGGGGACCTAAATAGACACATAGAGAACATACAAATGGCCAAGAGACCTATGAAAAAATATTCAACATCACTAATTATCAGAGAGATGCAAATTAAAACTCTAATGAGACGCCACTTCACAGCTGTCAGAATGGC